AAAGAATACAAGAAAACCTACTAATAATTCTGAACAGTAAAACTCAACTCACCCACTCACAACTGATCGAATACTTAACAAGGTTAACAGAATACACACACTAGTTCACCAGAATCAAAAGTTTTTGCCTGCAAGTACTCACAAACAATAGCACAAACACAGTCTAATTTTGGCTTTGTTGGTTGTGGAAGAGTGAAAAAGGAGGGAGGAGTTTCTGTCAGCTAATGGTTTAAAAATCCCCTGTCTTGCAGTGGCAATCCGGTGACAGCAATCTTCTTCGGACAGCCCAATCAGCACTCACCACCTGCCTTGCAACAACCAATCACACTTCAACACATGCACCCACTCTGAGAGGAGTAGAGAAAACATCTCATAGATCACTGCAGACAAATATAAGGATAACAATACCAAAACATAATGACCTGGGTCATAACTAGGGTTGTGTACTGAAAATCGGTGCTTATATGGAACTGGTACCTGTACAACCGATACCTATCGGACCGAAACAAAACACACATTACGGTGCCTCCTTTCCGTGCTTTTTTTTTAAATGCTATGTTTCCCTCTATTGGAATCATTCATTCGTTCATTTGTGGAGTGTATATTATTATTTAAAGGCACGCTAAGCACCATTGGGCATCACTTCTGTTTACACACAACAGAGCTAGCTCGCCCCGCCCCCCTCGTCCTCCGTGACTCTGTCACGTAAACGAGCGATAGCTGCTAGTTACCCTGAATTTACACACCTGTTCAAGAGATAGTGCATCCAACATGAAAATTCACCCATTATCTACTCACCCTCATGCCGATGGAGGCTCAGGTGAAGTTTCCTCACAACATTTGTGGAGATCCAAGGGGAGAGGAGGTAACTTAGCAACAAAACTCCACCGAATGGAGGCTTCAGATTCAAATGTCCAAAAGCACATAATTGAAACCACAAAATATCTCCATACTGCACGTCAGTAGTGATCCAAGTGTCCTGAAGCCCTGACATAAAAAGTTGTTTGGAAAAACATCATTTGAACTCTGTTTTTAGCCTCATTGTAGCCTGTAGCTCTAACTGCCTCTCTGTACACCGCGTTCACGTGTATGTGCTTGCGTGAGACCATGAGACATGGGCACTGCGTTCATGTGTGTGTCCTTGCTTTCGCTGGTCTCCCGCTGGCTGGTAGGTACAGCCTGGACCCAAATGTTTTTGTTGCCATTTGCGGAGCCTGGGCTGCCTACAGAGACCGGACTTTAATAGAGTTAATATTATTGTAATGTTAATTTGTTAAAAGTCTTTTATTATATTTTAATACTGTTAATAGGGTTCATATACCTATTTATTTCTAGGTATTTCTAATTTTCCTCAGCAATAAATAAATAAAAACATAGATTTAATTGTAATTTTAAACTATTATACAAAATACTCACACACTTCTGAAAGGTGGCCCATTTGTGCCACTTTTCAACCTCCATAAAAAACTCAAATTTTGAGGTATCGGTTCAGGCACCGCTTAAGCACCGGTACTGTTTTAAAAGTATCGGTTCAGCACCGGTATCGGAAAAAACCCAAACGATACCCAGCCCAAATCATAACAATATTAAAAGTACAACAAAATAAAATTACACCTTTAAACATTTCCCACATACAAAAAAAAGTGTCCCCTGGGATCTATATATATAAATCAAAAGGTGATTTCCTTCTCTTCTAGCAACATCCTAAGTAATTGAGTTGTGTTTTTTTCCATCTGGATCTTTATGCTCTGCCATTTTTCCTCCAATCATCACGCTGTAACCTGTGACAGGCTGTTACGCTACCATAACTATCGCACATTCACATATGTGTATAGATTTTTGTCAAGCCGCGAGCACCAATTAGGTTTATATTACCAAAGGTTTATGACAAAATCTCTTGACGACATTGACTCTGTGTGCGCACAGCGAGAGAGGCGAGAGAGACACTGTGCTGCTACTAGAGAAGCCGCTGAATGAGTTCCCTCTGAGTGGTAAGTCACTAAAAGTGTCTGAGAAGTCTGGCACTGTTCATAAAACATTCAGGATGCCACAGTTTATTCCACACTACTGAAGCTGCTTCTCTTTTTGAAACCACCACAGAGTTTGTAATAATTTTGCTTTCAGCCATGCTTGTTGTTGCTGTGCGTAACAATTTGATGTCAATATGTCAGCAAGTATTGAGTCTCACGATGAGAACTTTTCATATCATATTACAAATTATACCGGCGTTGTTGTTAACAGTATGACAATGCACAGCCCAAGTACATGCATATTTCAGTCAGTGTGGCAGATACTGTCCCAGTTATGAAATGTGAATAGTTCCTGTTGAAACATCTGTGTGTATGTCACTCCTCTTTTGTCCAAAAGAAAAGAGGAACTTCTCTGCTGTTTGCACATATGTTAAAAGCCTTTATCCCTTTCTTGTGCCTAGTCCTTTCACCCTCAGGCATGACTGCACAGTTTCATTGTTGTTCTTCTGACTCTACTTAACTAGCAAAAACTAGTATTGACTAGGAATTAGCATATATCCTGTAATGTGACATACACGTGTCAATACACAGAACTGATCTGTTCTGTATGCATAAGCATTTGTATGAAGCCAGTGTCTCTGTAGAGGTTAACTGAGGTCAGGCTTCTGCTCTCTGCACTCTGTGTTATATCACTACTCTGTATATTAGTAAATCAATCAATCAATCAATCAATCAATCAATTTTATTTATAAAGCCCAATATCACAAATCACAGTTTGCCTCACAGGGCTTTACAGCATACGACATCCCTCTGTCCTTAGGACCCTCATAGTGGATAAGGAAAAACTCCCCAAAATCCACCTTTAACGGGGGAAAAAAAATGGTAGAAACCTCAGGAAGAGCAACTGAGGAGGGATCCCTCTTCCAGGACGAGATAGATGTTGTACAGAACAGATCAACATAATACATTAACAGTAATCTGTATGACACAATGAGACAGAAAGAGAGACAGAGAGAGAGACGGAGACAGAGAGAGATGCAGGACAGACGGTGAGAGAGAGAGAGAGAGAGAGAGAGAGAGAGAGAGAGAGAGAGAAAGAAGGTGCCCGGTGTATTATAGAAGGTCCTAAATAGGGGCTGGTACAAGGCAAGCCTGAGCCGGCCCTAACTATAAGCTTTATCAAAGAGGAAAGTCTTAAGTCTAGTCTTAAAGGAATACGCCGACGATTTGGGAGTTATGCCCTTTCTCTATCATTTTCATATTGAGATAACATGATCAATACCTTTATTGTGTCTGTGCGTCCAGTGGCTGGGTCTCAGCAGTTAGCATGGCAGCTTAGCTTAGCGAATACAATTGAAGTCTATAGGGGGTCAGTAGCCTACTTGTAAAAGTGAACAAATAAACGTTACAGAAACCCTGAAGCTGGCATTTCTGCACGTGCATTTAAAATAAACATGTTTAAACATTAATTCGAAAAACGAGAGTCCTTTTTAGTCGTTTTAGAAGAAGTTTGATACACGGAACTATAGTGTGTTTACGCCCTGCGCAGAGGGATACACCGGTGAGCAACAGCTGCAGCTGGCTCTGGGACAGGTACGCTAGGTTACTTGATAAAAGCAAACAAAGAGACAAAAATGTGCATTATAAAGCGATATTACTCACTCGACTGAAAGCTGTCCATCAGCTCCTGCAGGCCTGGGGCATTTTTTCGAGTTTATCTTAGGAACATGAAAAAATGTTTGAATCACGGCAGGATTAGTGATTGCTGCAAAGTTTTCACTCCTTGTGATGCACTCTCTGCAGCCGTTTTCCTCCTGATGATGATGATATATCTCTAGCCTCCCCAACAATGGTAGCACCGAATCCCATTCTGTGCAGCAAAATGATTCCACCTCCGTAGGCATAGGTTGGCAAGCCCCGCAGCTACACCACCAATCCTCCCCTGACCTCCGTCTCCCCTCGGCCCCTTGCTGTTCCGCTGCCTAGGAGGATTCAGCCTCTCTTCTCGCCCGCTCAGCATCCAACACCTGGAGTTCCTCATCTGTATACTCCGGTTCAAACAGGTATGACTCTGGATCTGTGTCCACTACAAGAAACTCTTCAAAATCACATTCAAAGTCGTCCATTGCAGCTACTATAGTCCAGAGATATCGTTAGGCTAAATAAACAACTGAGTTTTGTTTACAGGCTACGTCTGTGCCTGTGCCTGCTCACCGGTGTATCCCTCCGCGGATCACAGCACAGGACGTAAACACACTATACTTCTGTGTATCAAACTTCTTCTAAAACAACTAAAAAGGACTCTCGTTTTTCGAATTAATGTTTAAACATGTTTATTTTAAATGTACGTGCAGAAATGCCAGCTTCAGGGTTTCTGTAATGTTTGTTTGTTCACTTTTACGAGTAGGCTACTGACCCCCTATAGACTTCATTTGTATTCGCTAAGCTAAGCCACAATGCTCACCGCTGAGACCCAGGATTTTAAATTCAATTCTGGATTTTACAGGGAGATTTTCGACGGAAACTTCCGCCTTCCTCAGAAATGTCACTTGGTGGTGGTTGTGACGTGTCGTTATCCGCTGATCTGTCAATCAGCTGACAACACTGACAGGACAATCAGGCCACCTGCTGTCTGTCTGCCGCCTCTCCAGGACCACCACCAAGTGACACTTCTGAGGAAGGCGGAAGTTTCTGCCGAAACATGTCAAGGTATGTAACGTCCTAACACGGCTGAGATAAAAGAACAACTAAAGTAATTAAAAAGGGTCCTTATTTTCAACACCAAAACAAAGTAAAGGTCTCCTTTATCCAGTCATATGCTCAGCACTTAACAAACACACCTTAATATTCAAAACACATTCACATAAACAGTGAAGGTGCACTACTCGTCAGTGCGTGATGAAGTGTTTTAAATAGTAAGTCGTAATAAGTGATCATTTTGGGGTGTGTGTGTGTTTGTCTCTGTGACATCCATGTCCCAAAGGCAGTCCTTTAATTGGTCACTTTGTGTGACTTTTCTTTTCTCCACAGCAGGATGTGAGCGAGTTCACCCACAAGCTGTTGGACTGGCTGGAGGATGCCTTCCAGATGAAGGCTGAAGAGGACAGGTAACAGCTCTCTGTCTATCCAGAGGTCACCATGAAAGAAATGGATATACAGTAGCTAAGTGCTTGTTGGTGTTATTGGCCATTACATTTTGAAGCAGAGTATCAAATGAATCAAAAAACTTTGGCCTTTTTTTTTTTCTTTTAGGGAGGGTGAGAAGCCAAAGAACCCCATGGTGGAGCTCTTCTATGGCCGCTTCCTTGCTGTGGGTGTCCTTGAAGGTGAGATTAAGTGTTAGATTAAAACCAGTACAATGAGAAAGTGAGGGTTGTTAAATAATCACAGAGATAAAGTGTTAGTATGGTCTGATTGCAACAGCCACAAAGTAACCAAGTCCTTGCCCCTAGTAATAAAAGGTGACCTTGTCTTAATAAGATGTGGTCCATGTGAAAGAGAAGAGCGGTTGCATTAATGATTGAAAAACCATGATGGCTGATTGACATTGTGCTTATTATGCATGACAGTACTGGCCCAGATCCTCCAAAAGCTGGGTCAGTGGAGTCTACTGCTCATAAAATGACCTTACTGCCTCATCTGCATGTCTGCTAGCAACTCCTCTCTCTCTCTCTTTTTGGGGGGCTTGTCATCAGGGAGGTGTGGGCTGCTGTTTAATGATGAGTGAGTGACTGCTGAACAAGTGAAAATCGGCTTAGATGCAAACGTATATCAAATGGCTTATTGCTTTTTCTTTTACGCTCTTTGCTTTCCTACTCCTCTGTCACATCTGGCTTCTGTCACCTCTCTTTCAGTTAGGTAAGAAAACATGGCTATGGCTGCTTATCTGTCTATTTTAATGTGGATTTTCACAGGTAAAAAATTTGAAAACACAGAGATGTTTGGACAGTACCCACTACAAGTGAACGGCTTCAAGGATCTCCATGAATGTCTTGAGGCAGCAATGATTGAGGGCGAGATTGAGTCCCTGCACTCGGCAGAGAACTCTGCCAGGTCCGGACAAGAGGTCAGTGTCAAAGCAGTATTACAACAGCTGTCTTTATTGAACTGCTCAGGAAATACTGATGAACATTCTTAGAAGTTCTACAAAATAAATGAGTGTTTTTATCCTCAGACAACAAGCAAGAGGTCCACTAGCAGTAACCAATAGTCATTAGCGATTAACATGGGAGTTACAGCTTGTATGTGTTGGAGAATTTTGAGTCCCTGCCTGCAAACATTATTAGACATTATAAAGTCCTTTTTATAGTCACATACATGTCCTTAAAGGGCCAGTGTGTAAAATGGGTTGAAAACAGTGACATCAGTGGTCAAATTCTAGATTGCAGGGCTCACTCGCTCACCCCTCCCATCGGGTAAATGACGGTGGCCTCGTAGGGACAAAAAGCCTTGCGCACGACTTTTTCAGGAGTAGGTCTATCTAGTGACAAGGTGAATGTTTATTTAGAAATCTAAGCCATGTTACTATATTGTAATGAATCCCTCACGAGCAGGAGACCAGAGGAGCGTTCGGGAAAAAGGCCCGTTTATTTGAGCACTCCAAAAACTCCGGTAACACTCCACTCCGTCCCAAACTCTGACTCTTCTAGTGTAACAGACACACTTCATAATTTTACACACATACTCGTTTACCATAACCGAGTGGGGACCCCCCTCCCCTCTCTGCTCCACCAATCTCCAGCCCACACACTGACTGACAGCGTAGCCGGTAAACAGAGCTCAGCTGTTGATTTAGCCTAGCAATATCTCTGGACTATAGTAGCTGCAATGGACGACTTTGAACGCGATTTTGAAGAGTTTCTTGTAGCGGACATAGACCCAGAGCCATACCTGTTTGAGCCAGAGCATACAGATGAGGAACTCCATGTGTTTGATGCTGAGTGGGTGAGAAGAGAGGCTGAATGCACAGAATGGGATTCGGTGCTACTGCTACCATCGTTGGGGAGATATATCATCAGGAGGAAAAGCACCGCAGAGAGTGCATCACAAGGAGTGAAGTTGCGTCTTCTTTTCCTCGCAGATGATGGTTCGGGTTCATTCTCTGTTGGCGTGGACGTGCAAGAGTCTGGTTAATAATTCCACTAACACAAACGAAATGAGCAGATGACAATGCTGCGCGCAAAACAACAGTGTAGTGCGCGCGTGCAAGCCTGTATCACTTGTTTTCATTTGGATGATGTACTGCTGGATCGAAGATCATAGAGCGCTAGTATTATCCACGACTTTGGGCTTGTTTTTTGTAAAGTCGCTTACAAATATTGGTAGTCGTGGGTTGCGTTTTTTTTGGGCTTGTTAAGTGGAGTTGCTTATTTGGGCTTGCTCTCTAAAAATCGCCTTTCTCTATATATATCCGTCTAATAAGTTACTTAAATGCATGATAGTATGTCGGACTGCAGGATGTTTCCACAGCTCCGCTCCCTCTGCCCCTCTCCTTCGCTGCATACAGGTGATGGCCAGTCACTGAGACTTTTCACATTTAAATTGCGCGATTAATGGAGGTTCTTTAACTGTTTTTCTAACAAGTGGGCGAAATATGGAAAGAATACAATAAAGATTTGTAGAAAGAGAGAGGATTAAGTGTATGCAGTGTATGCATCGAGACACGACACAACAATTAAACATCAACTTCACATTTAATTGCATTTAACCTTAATCAGTGATTGCTCGATGAGATTCATAATGCATGTAAAGAACCTACGTGTATTATGGCTTTATAATGGCTGATCAATAACAGAAATCAATGCTGTGGCTAACGTTACCTGGGGGTGCATCATGTGTATTAGCTAAGTTTTGCTAGAGAATATAGCAACACACGGAAATTTGATAAAGCCTTCTCTTCATTCATGTTAATATGTTAGTCACACACACATTAACAGACGCGCACCCCTTACTCACTCATTCACACATTCATGCAGACATGCACCCTCCTAATCACTCACACACACACAGTAGAAAATGGAGCACACACACAGTAGTAGTAGTAGCCTAAATGCACAAATTGAGTACAGCAGGTATATTAATTTGTATTGCAGTAAGTAGGGTCAGCAGGTGTAAGGCACCCCTTGACCACAGTGAATGAGTCTAAACTACCCAGTCACAGGAACATAAAGTATGATTATTATGAAGGCCATGTAATAAGTATCAGTTTTAAAAAAAAAAAGTATACACTTAAGTCACAGAGTCTTACTTTGCACAGCTTTGTGCAGAGGGTTCCACCAGGTTCAACGGAGCGAGCAGCTGAGTTTACAGACAGCAGATGCGTCATTCGATCTGTCACAACTGTTTAAGTGTACCCTGAAGACAAATGTTTTTGCAATTAAAGCAATAAAAATTGGTAATTTATCTCATTTCAGAGACTTTTTCATTATTTTCTCTTTTATATATTACACTTGCCCTTAAAGAGGCAACAGACAGGATTCGTTTTTTTTTTTTTTAGCTTGGCGCCACCTAGCATCAGTGGTGTTGTGTCGCACTGTTGCAATGACCAAATTGACCGTGGGGATCAGAGATAATCAATAAAATGTAGGCTGTAAAGCCACCGTTATACCTCTATGTACAGTATATGTAGAATGAGAGGGTGTGTGGACACTACTAAATAAATGAGTGAAGAGACTGAGCAACAATTATCAGATTTATCTGAAGAAAAAACAAATAGCAATGGAAATAATTATACCAGAATGCACAGCACCAGTATAAACAACTCACAGTAAATTATACCAATATGTACAGCATCAGTAGAAACAACAGTAGACACAGGGGAATTATACCAATATGCACATGTAAACAGTCCTGATTCTAGAATAAATGGTACTGTATGGAAACGATGCGGCTGGTTGGAGCTCAAATTGAATGGGAAACAAAGTTCAGTGTTCACTTAGGTGGGCATAACTTAGCTGGGCGATGTCTGTCGATAGCTGCCTCCATGAGAAGAGAACAGAAGGAAGGGAGGGGGGTATCACTGTCTGAGGGCTGCCGTAGAATGGCAACAAGGATGTCAGCTGACCAGCACTCGCTACCCGGTCCCTGGTTGCGGCGATTTGCGATGCTTTTATCACTCTCCTTTTTGCTCTTCTTTGCCTCCTCACACAGAGGAGCTCGTTTTCTTTTGCTAGGCTGTTTTTCACTTGTTTCCAAACTTTGTCCGTCTGCCATTGTGCTCGTGACTCGACTATCTCGTGCCCAACTCCTCATAAGGACCAGCTTCAGTCCCTGATTGGCTGACTGACCAATTTCGCAATATATGACATGTTTCCTGCCGTAAAGCAGATTTTTTCCACGAAATTTCGGCACCGGTGGCAGAAGCTTATTGCAAAGATTGCAAAGCCACTAAGTAACCTATGTAAACGCTGATAGTCTGATTTTACTGTGGCCACTACCCTGTGCAACCCACATTATTTTCATAATGATATATTTAGGAAAAGATGCTATCTGTTGCCTCTTTAAATAAAGCTAAAGTAATTTATGAAAACACGCAGTATTTCTTATCAGAATAATCGATAGAATACTTGATTACTAAAAGATTTGATAGCTGCAGCCCAAGTCAACAGTAGGGCTGCGTGATTCTTGGTAAACTGTTAATCACCATTTGTCTCCATAAGAACTGAGATCATGATTCTCACACACAATTCTTATTTTTTCAACAAAAATTTTGATTGCACTCTTAGATGCTCAAGTGAAAAAAAACGCATCTGAGATGCTTGCTGTGTAGACAGGTCTTTAAATGGACAATATTGACATTAGACATATCAAAGTGCTTGACTAAGATTTAACATATATCAAAGTACTGGACTTCAACTTAAAAGTTTCATGTAACAACAACAACAAAAAACAACCCTCAAGTCTCTTTTGGTCTCCGAATTTAGATCATCAAAGTGATGAACTTTAATGCTGCTGAATGTAAAAAATAGAATGTAAAGTTACAGCTTTAGAATAAATAACACACACACACACTGACCATTATATGACGCTTTTGTCTTGAGATAAGCAGCTGTAAAACAGCATTTATTCCATTTCCTATAAATTATTGACAATAGTCCCACGTTTTGTTATTTCATAGCTTTTATTGTTAGGCAACCAAAATAGGCAGTCTTGAGTTTCTGTCTGCAGTGACTTAACATGAATCCTATCCATCTGAAAGTGAACATGTAACAGTAAAATAAGGCAGATATCTGAAAGTTCAAACAGCAACGCAGGAGAAAAACTGAACTTCAACCCACAAAGATTCATTTTAGTGCTACAAGCTTAAAACACACAGACACCTTGAAAACTCAGGGCTGTTGTACAGACGAGTTGAGCCGCAACGTATGCTTTTCAGAGGGAACTGTCAGCTTCAGCTCGACTAGTTTGGGGTTGAAGTGTCTATCTTTGGTTTTAGGTGGATTACAATAATAAATTAAACTGGTTTGGAAGATTTTATTGCACTTACAGTTATGTAACGAGAGGTGGTTCACTCAAGTAACGTATTGTGTTGGTGGTGTGTCTCTCTCCTCCCTTCTCCCTGCCCCATGTCAGTCTGCATTGGTGAAGCACAAAACAGAGGAGGGAAGGAGGAGGGAGAGAAATGCAGCCATCCTGCAGCCCTAGTTAACATTCAGCTCAAACTTTTGAAACATTTGCATTATATTTATGCATCAACATAATGAACAACATAATTGTGCATAATAGCAAAGATTTGTTAATAGCACTGTGGTCCAACAAGAAGTCAGAGACTTCACTCTTTCACAAAACAAGTTGGAGTCTGCACCTATCTCTTAGGAGAAGACAATCATTTGAAATCATTTGGGATTACCAAACATGACAAGGGAGGGAAGGAGCATTCGAGACAAAAGGGTCAGTAGCTCAGTCCATAGGGACTTGGGTTGGGAACCGGAGGGTCCACTGTTCAAGTCCCCATCCGGACCAAATACGGAGCGTGGACTGGTAGCTGGAGAGGTGCCAGTTCACGTCCTGGGCACTGCCGAGGTGCCCTTCAGCAAGGCACCGAACCCCCCAACCGCTCGGGGTGCC